CGGCTTATTCGATCTTATATTCATTCCTTTTGCATAATAACTTTCTGCTTTACTGTTAAGCTGAAGTCTGCAGCATTGCATGCTCATGTTCCAATGAAAGGCCACGTTGTGAACGAAGAAAACAAAACAAAATCTGATCTATCAAGCTAGACTGCATTCTGGGATCTAACTTGTTCAATTATAACATTAGCTATGATCATAATGTATTCCATCTGGTAATGATAGTATGGAATGATGACAGTTCACAAGTAATTTTAAAGACATGAAAAGCAAGTGATTAACTACATCAAATTATGCACTTAACATTCTAGCAAGCCCAATTGCAATAACTTTGAAAATATAATAACTAAAAATGATAACATTTGAACCACACAACACTTACTACATGGATAGACAATACGGTGTAGTAATATCATTGATTAGCAATCCAAAGACTCAAACTAATGGCACAGGTTCAAATCCCATCGTAGCAGCTGGTGGAATACCAATTAATTTAAAAATTTCCAGAAATGAAAGCTAGTCTCTGTACTAGTGTTCATGACACTAACATTGATTGCTGTTTCACAAAAAAAAAAAATCCAGTTCACTTTAGGGAAGAAAATCCATAGTGCTTGGCTGGTCTGCTTTACACATTAACACAGTGCCCTTTGAAATAGCCTAATGAGCCACCATTTAAGAATGATTAGGATTGGGCAATAAATGTTGGCCATGCCATTGACTTCCACAACCCATGAAAGAATAAAACACTTGAGTATTTAGTACTGCTTAATCTACTGTACATTCATGCTTTTCGCTGCAAAGCCAATGAAATGCCGAAACTGTATTCTAATTATAAATGGGTAATTTTTCAGTCTTATCTTGAAAAGATTTCACATAATCTCTGCAAAAAAAAAAGGCACATTTGACTCAATTCAAGAAAAAGTTATTTCCAATAAAAACAGCAGAAAAAGATGAAAAGAACTGGATGAACTGGACTCTACAGTTAGGGGTACAGATAAGCGCTTCTGTGGACGTAAAAGAGACTCCAGGATGGTGTGTTGCCTCCCTGGTGCCAGGGTCCAGGCTGTCTCTGAACAGGCAGAAAGCATTTCGAAGGGAGAGGGTGAACAGCCAGAGGTTGTGGTACATATTGGTACGAATGACACAGGTAGGATGAGAGATGCGGTCCTACAGCAGCAGGTCAGGGAGTTAGGTAGAAAGTTAAAGAGCAGGACCTCCAAGGTTGTAATCTCAACATTACTCCCTGTGCCACGTGCCAATGATGCTAGAAATAGGAGGATTGTACAGATCAACACATGGCTAAACAGATGGAGTAGGAGGGAGGGTTTCAGATACCTGGACCATCGGGATCTCTTCCAGGGCAGATGGGGCCTGTACAAGAAGGGCGGGTTGTATCTAAACTGGAGGGGCACAAATATTCTGGCTGGGAGGTTTGACGGTGTCACACGGGAGGATTTAAACTGGCTTGGCAGGGGGGTTGGAACCAAAGTAAAGGTGAATGGACAGAAAGTGAACTAGAGAATAGGGCCAGTAAGACTCAGAGGAAGAGCAGATAGGGTGTGCTTACTGATCAAAGCGGATATGGTGGACTGAAGTGCATTTGTTTCAATGCAAGAAGTGTAACTTGTCAGGCAGATGAACTTAGAGCTTGGATTAGTACTTGGAACTATGATGTTGTTGCTATTACAGAGACTTGGTTAAGGGAGGGACAGGATTGGCAGCTTAACATTCCGGGATACAGATGTTTCAGGCAGGATAGAAGGGGATATAAAAGGGGTGGGGGAGTTGCACTACTTGTTAAGGAGAATATCACAGCTGTACTGAGGGAGGACACCTCGGATGGCTCATACCACGAGGCAATATGGGTAGAGCTAAAGAACAGGAAGGGTGCAATCACAATGTTTGGGGTTTACTATAGGCCTCCCAACAGCTAGCAGGAGATAGAAGAACAGATATGTAGGCAGACTTTGGCAAGATGTAAAAGTAACAGGGTTGTTGTCGTGGGTGATTTAACTTCTCATACATTGACTGGGCTCACTTAGTACTTAGGGCTCGGATGGGGCAGAGTTTGTAAGGAGCATCCAGGAGGGCTTCTTGAAACAGCATGTAGATAGTCCAACTAGGAAAGGGGCCGTACTGGACCTAGTATTGGGCATTGAGCCTGGCCAGGTGGGCAACGTCGCGTTAGGGGAGCAGCTCGGGAACAGTGATCACAATTCAGTCAGCTTTAAAGGTGCTGATGGATAATCATAGGTGTAGTTGTCAGTGAAGGTGTTAAATTGGGGGAAGGCTAATTACAACAATATTAGGCAGGAACTGAAGAATGTAGTTTGGAGGCAGATGTTTGAGGGGAACTCAACATATGGTAGGTGTAAGGCTTTCAAGCATAAGTTGCTGGGAACTCAGAACCGGCATGTACCTTTAAGGATGAAGGAGAAGTATGGCAAGTTTAGAGAACCTTGAATAACAAGAGATATTGTGAGCCTAATCAAATAGAAAAAGGAAGCATTTATCAAGGCTAGGAGGCTGGGAACACACGAAGCAAGGGTAGAATACAAGGAAAGTCAAAAGAAGCTTAAGCAAGGAGACAGGAGGGCTAAAAGGGGTTATGAAAAGTCATTGGCCAACAGGATTAAGGAAAATCTGAAGGCTTTTTATACATATATAAAGAGCAAGAGGGTAGCCAGGGAGAGGGTTGGCCCACTCAAGGACAAGGAAGGGAATTTGTGTGTGGAGCCAGAGGAAATGGGCGAGGTATTAAATGAGTACTTTGCATCAGTATTCACCATAGGAGAAGGACTTGGTGGATGAGGAGTCTGGGGAAGGGTGAGTAGGTAGTTTGGTCATGTTACGATCAAAAGGGAGGTGGTATTGGGAGTCTTGAAAAGCATTAAGGTAGACAAGTCCCCAGGGTTTGATGGGATATACCACAGAATACTGAGAGAGGCAAGGGAGGAAATTGCCGGGGCCTTGAGGGAAATCTTTGTATCCTTACTGGCTACTGGGGAGGTCCCAGAGGATTGGAGAATAGCTAATTTTGTTCCTTTGTTTAAGGAAGGGTGGCAAGGATAATCCAGCTAATTACAGGCCGGTGAGCATTACGTCAGTGGTAGGGAAATTACTGGAGAGGATTCTTTGAGACAGGATTTACTCCCACCTGGAAATCAGTGGGCATATTAGTGAGAGCAACATGGTTTTGTGAAGGGGAGGTCGTGTCCCACTGACTTGGTTGAGTTTTTTGAGGAAGTGATGAAGATGATCGATCAGGGTAGGGCAGTGGATGTTGTCTCCATGGACTTCAGTAAGGCCTTTGACAAGGTCTCTCATGGCAGGCTGATACAGAAGGTAAAGTTGAATGGGGCCAGAGGTGAGCTTGCAAGATGGATAAAAAACTGGCTTGGTCATAGAAGACAGAGGGTAGCATTGGAAGGGTGTGTTTCTGAATGGAGGGCTGTGACTCATGGCATTCCTCAGGGATCAGTGTTGGGACCTTTGAATTGGAGGAAAATGTAATTGGTCTGATTAGTAAATGTGCTGATAACACCAAGGTTGGTGGAATTGCAGATAGCGATGAGGACCATCAAAGGATACAGCTAGATATAGATCTGTTGGTGACTTGGACAGAGAGATGGCAGATGGAGTTTAATCCAGAAAAATGTGAGGTAATGCATTTTGGAAGGTCTAATCCACATGGAAAATATACAGTAAAATGACAGAACCCTTAAGAGTACTGATAGGCAGGGGGATCTCGGTGTACAGGTACACAGGTCTCCGAAAGTGGCAACGCAGGTGGAGAAGGTAGCCAACAATGCATATGGCATGCTTGCCTTCATCGACTGGGGCACTGAGTTTAAAAACTGGCAGGTAATATCACAGCTTTATAGAACCTTAGTTAGGCCGCATTTGGAAAACTGTGTTTAATTCTGGTTGCCACATTACCAGAAGGATGTGGTGGCTTTGGAGATGGTACACAAAAGATTTACCAGGATGTTGTCTGGTATGGAGGGCATTAGCTATGAAGAGAGGATGGAGAAACTTGGGTTGTTCTCACTGGAATGATGGAGGTTGAGGGGCGACCTGATAGAGGTCTACAAGATTATGAAGGGCATCGACAAACTGGGCATTCACACACTTTTTCCCAGGGTGGAAGAATCAGTTACCAGGGGCACTGGGTTTAAGGTACGACGGGCAAGGTTTAAAGGCGATGTATGAGGCAAGTTTTTTTTGTTTTACAGAGGGTGGTGGGTGCCTGGAACTCGCTACTGGGGGAGGTAGTGGATGCAGATGCTAAAGTGACTTTTAAAGAGCGTCTTGACAAACACATGACTAGGATGGGAATAGAGGGATACGGTTCCTGGAAGGGTAGGGGGTTTTAGTTGTGACGGGCAACATGTCATTGCAGGCTTAGAGGGCCGAAGGGCCTGTTCCTGTACTGTAATTTTCTTGGTTCTTGTCCTTTGAATGTTATACAGCAAAAACAGAATCATTGCTGATTTTGTCTTTTTGTTCCCTCATGGGATGTGTGCATCACTGGCTAGGCCAGCATTCATTGCCCAGAGGGCAGTTAAGAGTCAACGACATTGCTGTAGGGCTGGAGTGACATGTAGGCCAGAACAGGCAAGAATGGCAGATTTTCTCCACTGAAGGACATTAGTGAACCAGATTGTCAGGAGAATAAACAAATCGACACCAGTTTCATGGTCATTACTAGACTCTTAATTCCAGATTTCAAATTGATTCAAATTGATTGCAAATTCCACCATCTGCCATGGCGGGATTTGATCCAGTGCCACCAGAGCATTTCTGGACATCTTTGGAGTAATAGTCTAGTAATAATCCCACTAGGTCATTGTTAAGGAACAACGTATTGTACGTCATTCATGGTTTAACATCGCAAGTCCCAACCCATTTTCATGTATGACAGTGCTATTTTAGAACAACATCTTTAAAAATTCTAAAATCAGAGAAATTGATTTCAATGCCAAACAATTTTTGCTCACTTCCATTACCTTTCGCCGACTCTCATCTTTTCGATCAAAGGCACACTGCTGTTTGCATTGTTCACACGTCTGAGGTGGCCCATACTTCTTCTCTGAATTTGTACAACGTTGACACTTGGTGCCAATGAAGGCAGCGATAATGTTACAATATTGACAGGGTTTGGGCTACAAACATTAAAAAAAATACAAAACATTAACTTTAACATTGTAACAGAGCATGGATTACAAAAATGCTGCATATTTACATTTAATAATGCGATGTAATACTATATAGTAGATTCAAACAGTACAAAGGATTGAAACAAACAAACAAACAAACAAACAAAACCACACCCTCTGAAAATCTGTTTTATTGCTATGTTTTCTTGGTTCTCATTCTGATTTGCAAAAAAGATTGGAATTAAGGTTTTCTTAATTGTCCAATGTTGTAAGAGTCAAATAATGATTTACAATTACATCTAATATTCCAAGAATTTTTAAAATTAACTTTCTCGCACCCCAGATTATCCAACAAGCAAAAATATTATATTAACTTATGGAATGCATTACTATGTACATTTTAGTTCAATTGTGAAAGACGAATTGAGGCATTGGGAGGTAATCTTAACTTCTGCTGAACTCGATATGATAAAACAGAAAAAGCCTCATATTGGATACTGTGATCTGATCAATGCCAGACTGTATCTGGCTTGGGAACACAATAACTGGTCTTGCCAACACAATAACTGGGCTTGCCATTCTAGACAAAGGCATACTAAGTCAGACTCATGCCCTTAGTTGAACAATTCCAGTCACGCTCACACTGGCATCTACCAGCCAGCAGGGAAAATTGCACAGGTGTGTTTTGTTAACAAAAAGCAGGCCAAATACTGCCTTGTCATTGTACTCTCAGTCAAGAAAACAAATGATGCAAGAGGCTATCAACAATACTATCAAGTGTTCTTGCTCAACAGTAACCTGTTCACTCAGTTGGGTTCAACCACAGCCACTCAACTCATGACCTCACTACAGCCTTTGCTCAAACATGGACAAAAGTGCAATAAACTCCCCAGACAAGAGGTGACAGTCACTGCTCTGAAAATCAAGTCAATATGGCAAATCAAGGGGCCCTAGTAAAACTGAAGACAATGGGACTTGCAGCAGCTGGGCATGGACAGAAAAACTCGATTGGTTGGAATCAGACATAGCAGAAGGAGGTTAGTTGTGGTCACCACAGTTACGGTCCAAACATCTTTGGCTGCCTCAATAACCTCCTTCCAGCACAAAATCAGAAATCATAACACTCAGCACTACTTGCAACTCCTCCGATACAAAAGCAGTCAATGTCAATTTTCAGCAAGGCTTATATAATATCCAGGCTTGGACTGGCAAGTGCCAAGTAATATTCATGCCACACAAGTGCTGAGCCAACAAAAGAGAACCCAACTGCCTTCCCCTGCTAATGGTATTACCCTCATAGAATTCCACACTATCAACATCCTTGGGACTCTCATTGATCAGAACATAAATTATGTCAGCCACATAATTACTGCAGCTACAAGAGGCAAGATGCTCAGAATCCTATGGAGAACTCACTGTCACTCCCCAAATCCTGTTCACCAGATTAAAGCATGTTGAACATCGGCCCTCCAAGCCTGTGCTGACCATCATGCCCTAATTAATCTAAAAACAAACCCGCCATTTTTCGATCCGTATCCCTCTATTCCCTCCCTATTCATGTATTCATCTAGGTGCCTCTTAAATGTCTTCTATGTTAGATGTGTGATGGAAGACTCCCCACTTACTTTAATGAGTGCAGTTCTAACAACTCTAAAGAAGCTTGACACCATCCATATCCAAGCAGCCCACTTGTTCAGAACAACATTCACCACTTTCATTCACGTCTTCCACCATTAATGCACAGTGGCAGCAGCGTGTACCATTTATAGATTATACTTCAGGGCTCAAGGCTTCTACAAGAATAACTTCCAAGCGTTCAACTTCTACCACCTAAAAGAGCAAGGGTAGCAGATGCATAGGAGCACCAATGTTTCCAGGTTCCCCTCACAGCCACAAACCAACTTGACTTGGCATCGTATTGCTGTTCCTTCACTAACTTGGAACTCATTTCCTAAAAGCACTATGGATGCAGCGACTGAAGAAGCCAACTCATCACTGCCTTCAAGGGCAATTAGGAATGAGCAATAAACACAGACAGCCAGCAATGCCAACAAAAGAACACATTTTTTTAGCAAGTACACTAATAGCCAGACACTGGAGTACTTACAGAACAACATCCCGAGAGAGATTCAGGAAGAGAGATCAAGGAAGTGGAAAAATTTAAAAGAAGAAAAGATTTAAAGTAGGAAGCATGGTTTGAATCTAAGTAGAAAAAGTAATGTTCTTGCTGATGAGTGTACGGTTCCTCTGGTGATCCAAGCACAAATGGTCTTAAATCAAATTCCATTGGTTAAACATCCATATCAGATCCTTATAACAGCTTCTATTTATAATATAATTATGTGATCTTTCTTAATATTCTGTTACGCTGTTCAATATCATTTTGTTTTATACTGCTCCTGTGAAGTTCCTGAAGGTGATTTATGTCACAGGCACGATATTAATAAAATCTCTTATTAAATCATAAAATTAAGACTCAGAAAAAAATGTTTTAATCAAGAAATTGTGTAAAATGGAGTGAACCTGTCAAGTTTCATGTTTCTACACTAAGCTATATTGTTTTAAAACTTGGTTTTATTTCGGTAACAAAATTTGTTTTTTGCATTCATGGATGTATTGTTCCTGATTTAAAAGTCAGTAGCTTGCAAATAGCACTGCCATTCATTATACACAGAATTGAGTTTTTTGAAGAAGTGACAAAGATTGAAGACAGGGCAGTGGACATTGTTTATACACAATTCAGCAAGGTGTTCGACAACATAGACCGGTTAGCGAAGTTAGATCACACGGAATCCAGGGACAGCTAGCCGATTGTCTCCTACCTTCAAACCAATTTTGTATCCAGAGGGTGGTGGTGGAAGGTTGTTTTTCAGAATGGAAGTCTGTGATCAGTAGTGTGCCACGAAGATCGGTGCTTGGTGCATTGCTTTTCATCATTTATATAAATGATTTAGATTTGAATATAGGAGATATGGTTAGTATGTTTGCAATGGCATCAAAATTGGTGGTGTGGTGGACAGTGAAGAAGGTTATCTCAGAGTACAAAGGGACCTTGATCAGATGGGCCAGAGTGGTAGGTGGAGTTTAATTTAGATAAATGTAGAATGTTGCATTTTGTTAAAGGCAAATCAGGGCAGGCCTTATACACTTAAATGGTAGGGGCCTGGAGAGTGTTGCCAAACAAAAATACCTAGGGGTGTAGGTGCACAGATCCTTAAAATTGGAGTCGCAAGTAGACAGGAAGGTGGCGTCTGGCACACTTGCCTTCATCAGTCAGCACATAAACGAGTTGGGATGTCATTATGTGTTGCCCCTAAGGAGGTGGCAGAGAGCTACCTTCTTGAATTGCGGCAGTCCAAATACTGCAGGTTGACTCAAAATGCCCTTAAGCAGGGAATTCCAAGATTTTGACCCAGCAGTGAAAGAACAGCAATGTATTTCCATGCCAGGATGGCGAGTGGCGTGGAGGGGAGGGGATCTTGCAGTGGTGTTGTTCCCATGTGTTTGCGGCCCCTATCCTTCTAGATGGAAGTGGCCATGGGCTTGGAAGGTGCCGTCTAAGGATCTCTGGTGAATTTCAGCAGTGCATCTTGTAGATATTACACACTGCTGTGACTGGGTCTCAATAGTGGAGGGAGTGGAAGCTTGCAGATGTGGTACGAATCAAGTAGGCTGCTTTGTCCGAGATGGTGTCAAGCTTCTTAATTGTTGTTGGAACTGCACTCAATAGAGACATAAGCCCGTCACACTCCTGTCTTGAGTCTTATAGACGGTAGACTGGCTTTGAGGAATCATTTGGCGAGTTACTCGTTGTAGCATTCTTGACCTCTGAGCTGCTCTTGTAGCCAGTGTTTATGTGGTGAGACCAGTTGATTTTCTGGTCAATGATAACCCCAAGATGTTGGTAGTGTCATTGTATATCAAGGTGGTTAGATTGTCTCTTATTGCAGGCAGTGAAAGCTTGGCATTCGTATAGCACAAATGTTACTTGCCACTTGTCAACCCAAGCCTGGATATTGTCCATATCTTGTTGCATTTGAACGTGAACTGCTTCAATATCTTAAGAGTCACGAATGGTGCTGAACCTTGGGCAATTATTGGTGAACATTCCCATTTTTGACTTTATTATGGAGGGAAGGTCATTGATGAAGCAGCTGAAGATGGTTGAGCATACCACAATACCCTGAGGAACTCCTGCAGAGATGTCCTGGACTGAGATGACTGACCTCCAACAGCCACAAGCATCTTCCTGTGTGCCAGGAGGAGTCCAACCAGCTGAGAGTTTGCTCCCTGATAGTCATGGATTCCAAATTTACTAGGGGCTCTTAATGCCACACTCAGTCAAATGTGGTCTTGATGTCAAGGGCTGTCACATTCACCTCACCTATGGAATTCAACTCTTTTGTCCATGTTTGAACCAAGGCTAAATGAGGGCAGGTGCAGAGTGGACATGGCAGAATTCAAACTGAGCATCAGTGAACAGGTTATTGCTGAGAATGTGATGCTTGATAATATTGTTAATGATACCTTCCATCACTTTATTAATGGGGCAGCAATTGGACAGGTTGTATTTTTCTTGCTGTGTGTATACAGGACACACCAGGGCAAATTCCACATTGTTGGATAGATGTCAACGTTGTAGCTATCCTGGAAGAGCTTGGCTAGGGGAACAGAAGTCTTTAGTACCATTGCCAGAAGACTGTCAGAATCCATACCTTTTTAAGTATCTGGTGCCTCCTACCATTTTCCACTGTTTTCTCCCTACAGATGCTGCCAGACTTACTCTGTTTCTCTAGCAATTTCTGTTTTTGTTTCAGATCTTCAGTATTCACAGTTTTTGTTCTATTATAGTAAAAGATACTTGTCACTCCTCATGCTGCAGCTAATTTAATCCAGACATAGTTTTTTTTTTAAAATTGCAATTTTGATGTTAATCAATGAGCCAAGATATTTGAAGATTTCCACTGCTCTACCTTGGTTTTTGTAATGCAATTTTGAGTTTGTTTCACTTATATATCTAGTCCAAAAGACTCTGTCTTTTAAAAGACCTGTCATAGTCTCTAGCTCATTCTTTGTATAGGCTTGTAAGTATTTTGTCATCTGCATACCCGAGATTCAATATTCTATGACCTACACTATTTAGTCACATCCCCTGAAACTTTTCCAGCACCATCCTCCGCGTTCTCTTCCATAGAATTAAACAGAAGACAAACATTCATGCCTAGCTCCCTTCACAAATTCAAATCAGTACGTTCATCACTAACTTGACTAAGAATTTTTGTATAACTTTGTAACAATGGTAGTGTATGGAATTGCTTTAAAAAAAATCTTTTTCACTTTTGTTTTTAAAGCAACTGCTGAAACTGTCAACCTATATGTGTCAAACCAAATAGATGTGAAGTGTTTATAGTTACAAAGTTCATTGGACCGTAGAAAATTAAACTGAGAATTGAAATAAAGTGGTACCGAAGGCATTAGGGGTTTGAAGGGTACAAGTTTGCTTTTAGGTGACAAGGAGATTGGATGGGTGTTTGTGAGGCAAGGGTACAGGGGATAAAATATAAGAAAACAACTGTAATAAAATTCCAGAGAACCAAAGTGAACATTTTAACCAGCCACTCCTGTGGCTACTTCCAATCTGCTTTGGATGTAGCAGGCCTGGCTCTACCAAAACAAAAGTTGTCTGACAAAGCCGTTTCACTGAAGCAATTCTACCAAGTCGGAAAATTTCCTGACCTAAGCTACTCACCTCGGAAATGGAAATATGGCACAGAGTTCCTGTCTGGGGGAAGTGCTTAATATAAATGTTGGCCTTTCAATATTCCAACTAATATATTTTACTTACAGTCTACCTTCTGATTGCACCAACAAGTCCTTGCATTTCCATGCTCCTGTGCCAGAGCTCAAGTAGTACTGATTCAGTCTCAGTTGCCAGCTGTAGAGTCCAGTTCTGTAGGTCTCAGTTGCAAGCTGATAGTGGACAAGCTGCAGCAGCTGAGTCTCGGGCCCTCTTGTGGTGCAATGGAAGTGTCCCTACTCCTGGACTGAGGCCCAGGTTCAAGTCCCAGCTGCTCCAGAGGTACGTAATAACATCACTGAGCAGGTTGTTTGAAAATATAGATTAACTAAGTAATATTCAATGGCTGAATCAAGAAGAGAAAGAATTGTGACTGGAGGAGCAGCTCTTTCTTCCAGTCACTGCTTCACTATCCTTTTGCACACTTAGTAACTCATTGCAGCAGCTCCCGCTCTTAACAACTTCAAAAACAGAGACCTTAGACAGTTTGAAGAAATCTGACAAATGGCAGAAGTTTCTCATCCCTGTTCTTGAACAACAAAAAAAACCCTAGTCTATCTAGTTTGCCTTCTACCATAATGGACATTTCATCCCACGACAATGGAGTTGTCCAGCAGAGGGCAATTGAGAGGGAAAGAGATCACTTCAGCACATACATTAGAGCCTGGAAGCAGTCACCCGCACTAAAAAGTAGATAGTCTGGGAACAGCCCTTGTGATCGGCAGGTGGAAGAGTGTCCAGCAGAGGGCAACTGAGAGGGAAAGACATCACTGTGGCGCATAAGTCACCTGCAGATTGTCCAGGGCCTGGTGTCAAGGAGTAGATATGCTGCTGCTGCAAGGGCAGGTTTAAACTAGATTGGCAGAGGGGTGGGATCCTCAACACCAGGGAGGCAAGTGCGAGGCTGGAAGGAGATACAGTCATCAGAAGTAGAAAGGTGAAAAAACAGGTAAGGCTGGAACAGGACAGGGGGCGAGGAATGCCTGTTGAATTAAATTGCATCTATTTCAACGCAAGACGGCTGACAGGTAAGGCCGGTGAACTCAGGGCATGGAGAGGTACGTGGGGCTGGGATATTATAGCCATTACAGAAACATGGCTAAGGGAGGGACAGGACTGGCAGTTTAATGTGCCAGAGTACAGGCGCTTTAGGAGAGGTGAAGGAAAGAGGGGAGGGGAGAGTTGCATTTTTGATTAAGGGGAGTATCACAGCAGTAGTCAGAAATGAAATAACTGAGGGATCATCTGGTGAGACTTTGTGGATGGAGCTATGAAATAAGAAGGGGATGTTATGTTACTGGGGCCGTATTATAGGCCCCCAAATAGTCAACAAGAATTAGAGGAACATATATGCAGGGTGATTATGGAGACCTGCAGGAGAAATAGGGTTGTCATAGTGGGGGATTTTAATTTTGCTAACATAGACTGGGGGCTGCCATAGTTTTAAGAGCTTAGATGGGGTGGAATTTGTTAAATGTGTTCAGGAAAGTTTCTTCAAGTAGCATGTAGAGGGTCCTACTCGGGAAGAGGCAAAACTCGACCTACTCTTGGGGAACAGGGCAAGACAGGTGACTGAGATGTCAGTGGGGGAACATTTTGGGACCAGCGACCATAGTTTTATTAATTTTAAAATACTTAAGGAGAGGGACAAAACTGGCCCGCACATTCAAGTTCTAAATTGGGACAATGCAAATTTTGATGGAATTAGACAGGAGCTTGCAGGGGATGACTGGAGTAGTTCGTTTGCAGGAAAAGGGATCTCTGGCAAGTAGGAGGCCTTTAAAAGTGTGATAGCTAGAGCTCAAGGTCTATACGTTCCTCTAATGATGACGAAGTAGGGAACCCTGGATGACAGGTGATATTGAGGTCTTGACCAGAAAAATGAAGGAGGTACGGCTCAGGAACAGGCAGCTGGGATCTAGGGAATCCCTGGAGGAATATACGGGATACAGGAGTTTATTGAAGAAGGAAATCAGAAAGGCAGAAAGTGGGCATGAGATAGCTTTGGCTGAGAAGATTAGGGTGAATCCAAAGAGATTCTTTAAGTATATTGAAGGAAAAATAATTGGAGAGATAATAGGACCCCTCAAGGACAAAAGTGGATGTGTATATGTGGAACCATAGGAAATGGGTGAGATTCCTCAATGAATATTTCTCCTGCGTTTACAGCGGAGAAAGACAAGACAACTTGGGAACTTGGGGAAGTTAATGGCAACATCTTGGGGACAGTCATATCACAGTAGAGGTGGTGTTGGAAGTATTAGAATGTATGAAGGAGGATAAATCTCCTATTCCTGACTAGATATATCCAAGAACCTTGCATGAGGCTAGAGAAAAAATTGCGGGGACCCTGACCAATATATTTGCATCATCGTTAGCCAGAGGTGAGGTCCTGGAAAACCCGAGGATAGTGAATGTTGTGCCCTTATTCAAGAAGGGCTGCAAAGATAAACCTGGGAGTTACAGACTAGTAAGCTTAACGTCTGTGGTAAGTTACTTGATAAGATTCTGAGGAATAAGATATACAGGCATTTAAAAAGACAGGGTTTGATTAGGAGTAGTCAGCATGGCTTTGTGTTTCAATACATCATTTATATTAAAAAAGGGCAAAAGCACATCTTGGGATTCAAGATATGTCCAAGTGGTTCTGACTCAACGTCCTAGATCTTCAAGCTGGAACTGGGAACGCTATTTCCAACACTGATCACACAAAATGAAAAACAGGACCACTTCCATCTAATTCCATTGTTCAAATTAACTAAGCGCAACAAACCTCAAAATAAGGAGTGCAGAAAATCCACATACAAGTCATGCACCCTAGCTACTGTTCCACTAAGTAATGAGCTCAAATGTTCCAAGTTTCTTTGAAAAGCCATGGAGAGACAATTTTTTTTGGGGGTGGGGGCATGGGAGGAGATGCGAACGTGACATGAATGTTGCATTAGGAGAGCTAGTCAGAGTCAGTGGGAATGATCTGAAGAGTTTTCAGGGATGGGACAGTGATAAAAATCAAGTTATATGGTACAAAGCAGTTAGATTAATCTCTTTCGATTATGTTCTGTTTCATTACCTACACAAGTACGCCAGAATCTCCACCTCCAAGTTGGAGTTGGACATTTTTTCGAGAAGGTACTGGAGACCAAGAGAATTACCCATCGACATTTTTTAAAAAAGTGATGATTGTTCTTGGAAGGATGTTCATATGTTAAGGTTTAAAAATAAATATTTCATAACGTTATCAGCAAATGTTCTTGCTTCATGGAGTTTACACCAATAATGGCAGTGTAAAGGAAAATTATTTTGAGCTGCACGGGGCTTACTTGACAATCAACCATCAATTTAGTTGCTTAGAATGAAGTAGAAATATTACTCTTCAGAATAAACTATTCGTCTCTCTCACCCCATTTTATGAAAGGCAGACGAATGTAGCCTTCCAGTACCTTAGTCAGCTCTATATTCATGAAAATGAAAGTCATCTAAATTTTTGGCTGGCAAAATTGACTAATAATTACCACAGACTACTTGTGTTGAGCAACATGACTAATTCTCTCACAAACTCAATCTGTAGACATAATTTGAAACAACAAGATAAATTAAAGCAAACCCTAAAATGAAAAACTGGAACAAAAGCCAAGCACACTCTGCTTACCCTGCTCAAACTCAAAAGCTGGATAGCAGCAATACTGCAGCACATACATTATTTACTAGTAGAAATTTCACTACTAATACTAAAATATTAATAATTGTCCCAGTAACAAAATTTAGGACCTGCAAGTTCTTATAATCCGTGTTATTAAAGCATCGCAAAACATCACATCAACTTACTGTTCCAAACTGCTTCACATTCTGTGCACATTTCTTGCATATTGTGTTGGTTTTGCTGCACAAAATAAGAAACCCATAATTCAGAAAAGGTTAAGATTTCAAATGGGCACAGAACTAAATGAAAGCGTGTTATTGCAACTGTACCTTTCTTGCTGGAATTCAGTTCTGCAGTATGTACACTTGACTACTGGATGTGCTATCCGACACTCCTTTTTAGAAGATAAACAAAGCACTCAGTCAAATATCACAATATTTTTCAAAGCACATTAAAACAAATCCAAAGGAAATATCAGATGAAAAACTTAAAGCAGTAGATGTTAAACATTGGTTGAAAGGAAGAAAGGTACAGGTAGTGATGGAATTCCAGAACCTGAGCTTAGATAACCAATAGCACGGTCACCAATGCTAAAACAGTTGTCAATGAAAAGGTATAACAGTGCAGAATTAAAGTAGATATCCACTGGCTGTGTATTGGAGGAGATTACGAAGATAGGTAGCAGCAAGGCCACAAAGGGAGGAGATTTCAAAATCCAGACGCTACTTCACAAAAACACATTAGGTCAGCAAACCCAAAGGTGAGACAGGAAACGCTGCTGGGAGCTAAGGCATAGACAGTAGGAGCTTTGGATGACCTCAAGTTTATGGTAGAATGTGGGAGACCAGCTTGGAGTACGTTGGAATATTTAAGCCTAGGAATAATGAAGGCATGCATAGAGGTATCAGCAGCAGCTGTGTTGAGATAGGGGTGAAGTTGCGCGATATTACTTGGGTGAAAAAGGTCTTATAAATGGCAAATAAGAGGTCAGCGGCTCATCAGGATCAGATATGACACCAAGGTTGTGAACACACTGACCTAACCACAGACTATTAGCAGAGACAGGAATGGAGTCAATAACTAGAAAAAAAAAAGGTGTTTTTGCCCATGAAATAAAATAACTGCATTATCCCCCACTATGGGTGCAAATAGAAAATACAGTTTCAAATTGTCACACTAATACCTTGTAGGTTGAAACAATAAGTTACCTTGACTATCCCAGGTATAGGACGAAGAAAAAGATACTGTATGATCTACCTCTAAGAATGGAGCTATTTTTGCAATAAATGTATTTGATACCTAATAAACCACAAAGGAACATAGTATTTTAATTGAAAACATTTTAAAACAGAATTTTAAATAACTTGGAATTTCAATTGCCTATATTAAAAATAGTCAGCTTTAAAATACTAAAATCATATAATTAAGCAGATGAACAAGTTGAAGAAATAATTTATTGCAAACAGTCCAGAAGTTCCTCGAAGTGATGATAACAGATGACCTGTCCTGGACTTCCCACGTAAATAGTCAAGGCAGCACAACAACGCCTCTTCTTCCTCAAGCAGCTCAGGAAATTTGGCATGTCCATAAGGTACCTCACCAACTTCTACAGATGCATCATTGAAAGCATACTGTCCGGATGCATATCAGTCTGGCATGGGAACTGCTCTGTCGAGGACTGTAAGAAACTACAGAAGGTGCTTTGCATAGCCCAGACCATCATGGAAACCAACCTTCCATCCATGGACTCCATTTACATGATTCGCTGCTGCAGAAAGGCTGCCAACATCACAGATCCATTGCACCCCGGTAATGATCTATGACAACCTCTTCCGTCAGGCAGAAAATACAGAAGCCTGAACACACGCATGAGCAGGTTCAGGAAGAGCTTCTTCCCAGCCGTCAAGACTGATGAATGGACTCTCCAGCCTCAAAATAATACTGATCTTGCTAATGTTGATCTTGCCTAGTGGATGCCCTGTGCAATGTGACCTGTATGCCTCTAAGTCTTCTTGATCTGTACATCCTTTGCTTATTATGATCTGCCTGTACCGCTCGTAAACAAAGCTTTACACTGTTTTTTGGTACACGTGACAATAAATAAAATCAAGCAAGCAGCTCTGCACCTCTCAAAAGAGCCACATCTTCAACAAATTATTACAAAATTTTCTCTCTGCTCCAATCGGAGGCCAGTGCAGCAAGCTAGTAAACAAATTACTTAATAGAAACTGCAACAAGAATTCCCAAATTCTGGGTTGTAAACACCAAAAGGATTGCCTCTAGAGGGGAGGCTGTCCAGTCCAAAGGCTCTGACAGAACAATCTCAGAAGCCAGGATTGATGCGAACAACAAGACCAAAGCACCCTTTAACTCAGGAGCCACTTTTAACAGCAAGTTTGAGTGGGTCTGGGTTGTTTATGCATGACTTGGCACCGGCAAGCAACAACTCAGTAATAAAAACAAGGTGCTGGAGAAAATGAGCATGCATGGAGGGAGAAACACAGATAATAGCATCCGATGTTTCTTTATTCAGAAGGAAAGAGAAGCAGAGAATGTGATGGGTTTTAAGCATAACTCGGACGCTGACCAAACACAGAAAAAAAGGTCATGTGGCTGAATTGGGAAAGTGGATTGAAATTTCGCTATATTTCTAGACTTGCCAGTTTGTTGGTACAGGCTCAGGATGGCAACTCTGTTTTGTGGGCACCAGTAACAAGACAAAAAAACGAAACTGTGAAGAGGAGAGAGGCTGGTGAGTGAGTGCATGGTGAACGTGGAGGTACAGTGAATTTGGAAAGGGAAAGCCAAGTGTGACAAACTGCCTAGGAACAGGAAACACTAAATATTGGGGCGGGGGTTGTTGCTGTTAAGTAAATGCAGGTGGAGGGGGCAGATTTGAATGTTAGCAGGTAGAGTATGTGCACAGTAGTGAAAGCAGAAAACAAGAGGTGCTAACTGAAGGTATTTGGCATGCTTGCTTTCATTGGTCACAGCATTGTAAGGTATTTCTGCTATAACGTGTGTTTCGTTAATGTGAATTGGCTGTAAAGCGATTGATGAATAGTGGACGCTGTTTGGATAATGCAAACTTTCTACTTCTGTAGCGATTTTTTATAGCACGAGAGCACACAAGATCGCAACAATTGCGTTATACGAGAAATACCTGTACAGAAGTTGGGACGCCATGTTACAGCTGCACAAGTATTTGTCCTATAACACAATAGTTATGTTCTTGTGTGACCTCGCACTGTAGAAAATAAAGTTATAGAAAAAAAAATCACTATACTGTACTGTACGAAGTTCGCGTAATCCAAACAGCATCCACTATTCAATCGTGTTACAGCTAATTCGCGTTAATGAAACACGCACTATAGCAGAAATAACCGTACAAGACATTGGAAAGGCCACAGCTTGAGCACTGCATACAATTCTGGTCAACCTGCTATGGGAAGGATGTTATTAAACAGGAAAAGGTGCAAACAAAAAAATTTACAAAGGATGTTGCTGGACTGGAGAGTTTGAGCTATGGGGAGAGGCTGGATAGGCTGGTGTGTTTTTCTCTGGAGAGCCAAAGGCTGAGGGGTTACCTTATAGAGGCTTATAAAATCATCAGGGCCATAGATAAGGTGAATATTGGGGACCTGAGAGGCAACTTAACACACAACTGCATGTAGGGAACAAGCTGCTAGAAGAAGTGGCAGAGGGGTATACAATTACAACAAGTTGGGCAGCACTGCTGCCTCATTGCGCCAGGGACCCGGGTTAGATTCCACCCTTGGGTGACTGTCTCTGTGGAGTTTGCACATTCTCCCCATGTCTGCGTGGGTTTCCTCCCACAGTCAAAGATGTGCTGGCTAGGTGGATTGACCATGTTAAACTGCCCATAGTGTTCAGGGATGTATAGATTAGGTGGGTTATAGGGGATGGGTCTGGGTGGGCTGCTCGGAGGGTCGGTGTGGATTTGTTGGACCGGTTTCCACACTGTAGGGATTCTATGATACTCTACAAAGTAAAAGAAATTTGGACTGGTGCATGAATAAGAAAGACTTGGACCACATGCAGGCAAATAGAAGAGTTCAGTTTAGGAAATCTGGTTGGCATGGAAATGTTGGGCCAAAGGGTCTGTTTCCATGCTGTATCACTTTATAAGGGTTTGGGGGCGCAGGCAGGATGGACAGCGATCTGAGACCTGTACAATTACATGAAGTATCACTCTTACAAGGTATTTTAAAAGTAAATTGTACATGTGAAAATCCGAATGACATTGTCTACACCTGAACTTTAACTACAAATTGAAGGTTACAATGTGGCATTCTTACTGTTTTGGTGTTGCTGGTGAGGCAGGGGGTGGAATCACGTGAATTTTCATGTGTTAAAATGAAGTCACATCGGAATGGAGTTTGTGAAGCACTTCACTAAAATGCACAAGATCATGTTTTAATTAAATGGAACAAGTGCAACACAAAACATGCAACTTCACATGTCAGAAAATACGTAGATGATTCACAAGCTATTTTGTATCGGATTTCAAAAATTCAGTTTGGAATTTGAAAGTCAAGTCATTTAATTGGTTTTTCAAGAGAAAACCTGCCCATGCAAAGCTCTATGAAAAAAAAACATGATTTTAAATAAGTTGTACCCTCAAAAGGGTAAGGAAGATGTACTGGGATGATGGTGTCGTCGCTGGCTAGACAGCCTGTCCCAATTGCCCAAAGAGCAGTTCAGAGTCAACATATTGCTGTGGGTCTGGAGTCACACCTAGGCCAGACCAGGTAATAGCTGTTTCCTTCTCTAAAGCACATTAGTGAACCAGATGGGTTTTTCCCAACAATCAGCAAAGGATTCATAGTCTTCATTAGACTCTTTTATCCAGATATTTATTGAATGCAAATTCCACCGTCTGCCATGGCAGGATTCGAACGTGGGTCTCCAGAACATTATCTAGGTCTCTGAATTAACAGTCCAGCAATAATACTACTAAGCCATTGCCTCTCCTTGTCAGTTTAAAATTTTCCAAATGATGCAAAACTTGATAATTTAGTGAGATACCAAATGACTTCAAGGTGACAGAATGATTGGCAAAATCAACAGGTACCACTTAACGTGAACTTATTTTTTGAAGGAACAACATTGAGAGACAGTGTTACGAATGGAGTTAAAACTAATTTGAATATAGATTACATATATAGGACAGATTTTATTGAGGCCTGGGCAATATAGGCGATAGCAAGATGTGTGGCAGAATCAGAAGTCCAGCACGTTCGAAATGTATAAGGAGAGGTGTTCTCATGGAAAAACATAGGATTCCTAAGGGGATTGACAGGGTAAATGCCGAGAGGACGTTTCCCCTCATTGGAGAGTCTAGAATCAGAAGGCATAGTCTTGGAATAGTGGGTGCCAAATTAAGAAGAGGAATTTCTTTCATCAGAAGAAAGTGTGCCTTTGGAGCTGCCCACACAGCTCTCCATGGCAAGAAGAGTCTTTGTGCATATTTAAGTTTGAGATAGTTATAGATTCTTGATCAGTAGGACAATCAAGGGTTACAAGGAAAAGTCAGGAAAGTGAACAAGGAATACCAGATCAGTCATGAACCTACTGAATGGAAGAGCAGGGTTGAGGGGCTGAACAGCCTTTTGCTGCTCTTATTCTTTATGGGCGACCCTGATGAAGGAGGATCTCACTTTTATGCCTTTGCTGAGTGATGTGGTGGGTTTCTCACTGGCCGTGATGAGCAGCAATTACAGGGGATTAATGAAGTGCCATATCACAACGTAACTTATTAATATACAATTTCGCATCTTATCAAATGTGCCAAACAAGCTAGATATCAACAAATCTCAACATGGAAATCAGAGCAGGTACTTGGTTAACAAGGTGTAGAGCTGGATGAACACAGCAGGCCAAGCAGTGTCATAGGAGCAAAAAGGCTGACGTTTCGGGCCTAGACCCTTCAGCGGAAATGGGGGAGGGGAAGGGGGTTCAGAAATAAATAGGGAAAGAGGGGGAGGTGGACAGAAGATAGATAGAGGAGAAGATACGTGGAGAGGAAACAGACAGGTCAAAGAGGCGGGGATGGAGCCAGTAAAAGTGAGTGTAGGTGGGGAGTTAGGGAGGGGATAGGTCAGTCCAGGGAGGACGGACAGGTCAAGGGGGCGGGATGAGGTTAGCAGGTAGGAGATGGGGGTGTGGCTTGAGGTGGGAGAAGGGGATAGGTGGGAGGAAGAACAGGCTAGGGAGGCGGGGACGAGCTGGGCTGGTTTTGGGATGCGGTAGGGGGAGGGGAGATTTTGAAGCTTGTGAAATCCACATTGATACCATTGGGCTGCAGGGTTCCCAAGCGGAATATGAGTTGCTGTTCCTGCAACCTTCGGGTGGCATCATTGTGGCAGTGCAGGAGGCCCAGGATGGACATGTCATCTGATGAATGGGAGGGGGAGTTGAAATGGTTCGCGACTGGGAGGTGCAGTTGTTTATTGCGAACCGAGCCTCCGCTTGGTTTCCCTGATGTAGACGAGCCACAACGGGTACAGCGGTGAACATCTGCTTGATGTGGAAAGTCTTCTTGGGGCCTGGGATGGGGGTGAGGGAGGAGGTATGGGGGCAGGTGTAGCACTTCCTGCGGTTGCAGGGAAAAGTGCCGGGTGTGGTGGAGCTGGAGGGGAGTGTGGAGCGGACAAGGGAGTCACGGAGAGAGTTGTCCCTCCGGAAAGCAGATAAGGGTGGGGAGGGAAAAATGTCTTTGGTGGTGGGGTCGGATTGCAGATGGCAGAAGTGTCGGAGGATGATGCGTTGGATCCGGAGGTTGGTGGGGTGGTACGTGAGGACGAGGGGGATTCTTTTTTGGTTGTTATTGCGGGAACGGAGTGTGAGGGATGAGTTGCAGGAAATGCGGGAGACACGGTGGAGGGCGTTCTCGACCACTGAGAGGGGGAAGTTGCGGTCCTTGAAAAACGAGGACATCTGAGATGTACGGGAGTGGAATGCCTCATCCTGGGAGCAGATGCGGCGGAGGCGAAGGAATTGGGAATAGGGGATGGCATTTTTGCAGGAAGGTGGGTGGGAGGAGGTGTATTCTAGGTAGCTGTGGGAGTCGGTGGGCTTGAAATGGATATCGGTTTCTAGATGGTTGCCCGAGATGGAGACAGAGAGGTCCAGGAAGGAGAGAGAGGTATTAGAGATGGTCCAGGTGAACTTAAGGTTGGGGTGGAAGGTGTTGGTGAAGTGGATGAACTGTTCGAGCTCCTCGTGGGAGCACGAGGCGGCATCGATACAGTCATCAATGTAACGGAGGAAGAGGTGGGGTTTAGGGCTTGCGTAGGTACGGAAGAGGGATTGTTCCACGTAACCGACAAAGAGGCAGGCATAGCTTGGGCCCATGCGGGTACCCATGGCCACCCCCTTTGTCTGTAGGAAGTGGGAGGAATTGAAAGAGAAGTTGTTGAGGGTGAGGACGAGTTTGGCTAAGCGGATGAGGGTGTCAGTGGAGGGGGATTGGTCATAGAATCAGATGGGAGATGCACCACAAGGCCAAGGCAGGTAGTTAATGAGGCATGGTTGATAAGATATGGCAAGAATTTTCACTGGTCCTCACAGCGAGAATCTCTCAAAAAATACTATGCAATTTACTCAAACCCCTAGTGTCAGTTTTAAGAACACATTTAACAGTTCAACAAAAAAAAAGCTATTATAATCATATAACTGGACTTGGCAATAAACTTCCAGAAACATCTTAAAATCAAAGTCAAGATGACTAACACCATGTACGTACCTCCCAATGGGTCTGGAATGCTAATTATTATGTTATTACCTGCTAAAGATGATCAATTCAAAGAGAGAAAAAAATCCTACCTAACAAAATTGTAAGTTGCATCTATCAGACAAGGTGACATTAATGACTTTCCACTTAACCTCTAGAAAAGGCTAAATTGGCTATCTGCAATGCCAACCTTTGTCTCAACGGTAACTGTTTCTCTGCCTCCAGAAGCCTTAATTACACTTCCATAGTACTAAACTCAAATACCTTTCAAACCATAAAATTGTGAAACAGGAGTTAGTTCAAGGCTCAGCGCTACTCTATAAACATCTACTAACAAGCCCAATACCCCCAAGTCTGGGTTACAAAAGAAAAGCCCGTAAAGAACAGCCAACCATATGCATTTATGTTTTCTGCAAGCTCTTTCATCAAAACAGTCAAACAGAAGTTACATTTCAAGCAAAAAAAATTCCTCTTAAGTATAGGCTAATCGGTTACAGAAAAATTGGTTAAAATAAATATGAACTAAGAACATGGCTCATTGAATAAAATAACTGTAGGAAAATTGCAGCAAAACGCAATTAGGATCCTCCTTTGGAAACCAAGAGTTAACTTACTGACCAGTGCACTTCACAAAGTTGATGTTAAGAATTTTCTGGCCAAGACAATTTTTCATGTTAAGAACTTTATGAATCACAAATTAAATGGTGTCAAATATTTTGCCTGTATTGAATCATCATAACAGCATGTGTTTCACAAGTCAAAATGAAGGAACAAAGTTTGTCAAAGAAGGAAGTTATCAATTTATACAACTAAAAATAGGAGACCAAGTAAAGGCCCAAATTACTTATATACTTGAAAGTCTTAACTCTCTTTAGTTAAGTCTTATGTTGAAATCTGATAATCAGCAATACATAAAACTCATCACACATATCACATCTGCAATATATCTCTCCTATAAATCTACCATGTGTTACTTGGGGCATTTTCAACTTCATACACCAAAGTAAAAATCCATTGCAAAAAATGATGAACTGGCATTCAAGACAATCATGCATCACCCTGGTCACAACTTTGGATGTGTGCTGAAAAATAAACATTTACAAAGGGAGCAGTGATGGCAAATGAAAACTGTGCACTTTTCAATCATATACCATGAAAACCACTCATGATGCAGTGGGAACTTCCCTTTGGAAAAAAATATGGAAGCTGGATGTTATCCACTTTAAATTTTTAAGACATGTAGATCTAGTCAAGTATTCAGATCTTTTCATATCATGGCATCCAATACAATTATTGCATAATTAAGACTAACAAACAATAATGATCCTTGAAAGCTGATAAAGTAATCGATAGGATTGTGAAGACTATAAAAGTCTTTTAGGGCATTTTAAAAATTTCAGATGCATTTTACTCAAAATGGTAACACGGTTTCTTACTCCACAGATGCATCCAGACCTGCTGACTTTGCTTTTAATTTCAGATCTCCAGCATTTCATTTTAAAAATTGTTGAACAGGCCTCAGTTGGGTACAATGTTTTAGCAATGATGTTAAGATTTTAAAGGGAACACTGGATGTGAAATAGAAAGACACCAGAAACTGGGATTGCTCTCTCTAGAGAACAGTGAAGGTTAAGAAAAGTTTTAATAAATGCATTCAAAATCATGACAGGGTATGCAAAGAGTAAATTAGAAAAAAAAAGTGTTTCCACTAGCAGGTAAGTTAGCAATTGAAGGGCCTAGATTAAATATTAATGGCAAAATAGTGGGAATTTGATTAAAATACTGCCCAAAAGGGCAGAAGCAAACAAAAAATTGAAATGTATGCTTAAAAGGATACAGTACATTTCCCAGTCTTCATTAAACTAAGTAGGTCACTTTTACAGTGTAAACAAGATAGCCAAATGGTCACATCTCTGAAGAGAGATGGGGACAATTATTTACATTAGGGACCTAAATATCTGCGTTTAGAGAATAATTAATTTTTCATTTCATATTCTGGATCTTTCAGTGCATGACAATCAAGAACTTCTAACTTGTTTAATTTTCCATTTGAATTTCTTAGATAATCTAGAAAGTCTGTGAAATCTATTACACATAGTCCTCCTCCTTGTCGAGTTTGTCCCAGGAGGGAACAGCAAAACAACCTTAAATCTTACACGTTCAAACTAATCACTGGATGAAGTGACAGCAAGACACAAAAAGAGAATGGCAGTAGCAAAGAATATCGGGGAAACAGTATTGATGGGAAAAGAGATAACAAGGTGTAGAGCTGGATGAACACAGCAGGCCAAGCAGCATCAGAGGAGCAGGAAGGCTGACGTTTCGGGCCGATTCGAACAGTGACATGGCCAGCTACCACGCGAGTGAAGCTCAAAAGTGGTTTATTGCCCGGCGTCTTCCGCATTGGGCAGGGCCTGCTAAGTGAGAACCAGCGAGTGGATTGGCCACAGCACAACGTACTTGGCCGGATTTTGGATCAAATAAATACAAATGACAAACAGCAGTATAACTCATTTCCGGCGGATAGAGCTGACGTTTACTACAAACCTTACATAGCTGCTGGCCCTGGGAGAGGTCCTCAAACGGGTACCGCTGGTGGCATTTGGTACAAGCATAAAGCGCGGCCATTATTTCAAATACCAATCAATAGGCGCAACCGGCCGCTCTGGCTTCAACGCGTTGCTGGCTTCTTGACACGAGTAGGAATAGAAACCCAGACGTATCAAGACGAAAGAATTTTGCTTCCTGGTTTATTCCCCTCTCCCCGCCAAAATAAAAACACAAAATAAAAAATAATTTATAAAATCACACTTCCCGGCGTCACACCAAACAGACAGCCGATATCAGAAACCAGACGCAAAAATCCGGAGTGTTCAGCCAATCAGAGTCCTCTGTAGTGGAGCGTACTGAAACGCGCAAACCGTCATGACCAATGAAGAGGTGGCTTCATACATCACGCGCGGCTACCAATGGAAAGTGACAGTTAGAGGCAGCGGCGCGCGGACGAACCCGGATTTAAAATGATCACGTGATAGCAGTGGAGGAGTCAAGGCCGCGCATAGATTGTGGGCTCAGAGGGTTTTGTGATTGCGATCGCTTTGTAGGGTTTTTTTTTCCCCCTCACCTAGTATCTTCCTTAGGACCTTTCAGGCAGAGAGAAAATTGAAGAGGCACAAATAAATCCCCTGAAATCTCCCCCTTCCATTGACGAAACCTACCTTTTTTTAAAAGTGACAGCGGCCAATCAGCCGGTTCCACCAATGAGGTGACGGGGCTCCGGCTGGCGGCCCAACCCCCCTCGAAAGGCCTCAAATGGTGGCCTCGGTTGTAATGGCTTATCCCTTCCAGTTTTCAATGTGGTTGTTTTCTGGGCTTTGTCTGTTGATACTTTATAAATAATAGTATATTCGACTACCCGGATATGGCAACTGATTCTAGGAACGGAAGGGTGAGGCTCTCATTTATTGTCTCTTGTGTCAAACGTGACTAACCACGTCGTACTGACGGAAGGGCTGGCATCAGGGTCCGTAGTGTGAGAACCTATGCAGTTTCTTATATTTCGATACTTTGTGCTCCTTCTTGCAGCTGTAAGTAGACAAGCCATGTGGATTCGAGTCATCGTGGTCTTGTTTAATGTCGTTAATGGCCACTCAGTATATTTTACAATACGTAAATGCTTCTCGAACGGTATTTCATACCTTTGCATTAACGGTTTGAGATCTTTTAATAATTTAAAGATTATTTTTCCCCCTACCCACCCCCGCCCAATCTTGAGACTTGCCACACTATTGATATGTAAAGTGAACGTTCGTTACGTGGACTTAGAACATTTTTGTTTTGGGTTGAAGTTGTAATATTAAGTACGATAATCCATATTATGCAAAGTGCCGTCTGTAGATTGTATGGTATAAAGGCTTTGAAATTTGCATTTATTTTCCAAAAATATGCTTAGCATTTGAATTTAGAATTTATTGTCATGTGTACTTTTACGAGGAAAAATACAATGAAAATTGTTATAAGTCGCCTTACTATGGCGCCTGTATTAATGACCGAAGTCATAAGTAAATTTTTATAAGTAACAGTAGTGTACATATAAAGCATTTATACTTAAGATTATGATAGTAGCTTTCAACTTTCCTCCTTATTGCATGTCCACTGTTTGGTGCTACAATAAACTTTCAACACTCATGGTCTATGTCAGAGTACAACCTGAGGGGGTTGACATTTTCTAGTACTTAGTGTACAATGACTCTAAGGCCTGAGATGGTAACCTTTCCCCATAATGTCTCTGTAGTTGCCAACCCAGACCTTGGGGTGAGCCTTGGCAATAATCGTGGGTCTTGGAATATGCCAGTTTGCAACCTTCTGTTGTGAGCAGTGTTTTGCACTGGAAAACCAGCAAGCTGGTCAGAACACTCTAGCAGCAGTTGATGTCTATTGCTCTATCCCTGGGAACTGTCTGTAGAGCATGACTCATGTCCTAGAACAAAGAACAACACAGTACAGGCCCTTCGGCCCACAATATTGTGCCGAACTTTTACCCTAAACCTAAGGTCTATCCAACTTCCACCTCTACCTTGTACTATCATCCATATGCCAATCTAATAGCCGCTTAAATGCCTCTAATGAGGCCAATTCCTCGCCCCTACCACTCCTGAGTAAAGAACCTACTTCTGATGTCTCCCCTGTATCTATCTCCACTCACTTTAAAACTGCCCTCTTGTCATAGGTACTCCACCCTAGGAAAAAGTCTCTGGCTGTCCACTGTATCTATATCTGGGATCATTTTGTACACCTGTATCAAGTCACTTCTCTTCCTTTATCATTCTAAAGAGAAAAGCCCTAGATCTCTCAAGCTTTCCTTGTAAGACTTTCCCTCCATTCTAGGCAACATCTTGGTAAATCTCTGCATGTTTTCCAATGCTTCCACATCTTGCCTGTAATGAGGCAACCAGAACTGGACACAATACTCCAGATGTGGCTGAACCAGGGTCTTGTATAGCTGGAGCATAACTTTATGGCTCTTGAACTCAATCCCTCTATTAATGAAAGCTAACACACCATACGCCTTCTTAACAACTCTATCCACCTGGGTGGCAGCTTTCAGGGAACTGTGGACATAAACCCCAAGGTCCCTCTGCTCCTCCACACTGCCAAGAATCTTTCCGTTAATCCTGTATTCTGCTTTCAAATTTGTCCTTCCAAAATGAATCACCTCACACTATTCAGGGTTAAATTCCATCTGCTACTTCTAAGCCCAGCTCAGCATCCGATCAATGTCCCTTTGTAACCGAGAACAGCCCTCGGCCCTATCCACAACTCAACCCACCTTCGTATTGTCCGCGAACTTACTAATCGACCCTTCCGCTCCCACGTCCAAATCGTTTGCAAAAATCACAAATAGAAGAGGACCCAGAACAGATCCTTGTGGTACACCACTCGTAACTGAGCACCATGTTGAATATTTTCCATCCACTACCACCCTTTGTCTTCTAAGGATCAGCCAATTCTGAATCCAATCTGCCACATTTCCCTCTATCCCATGCCTCCTTACTTTGTGCATGAACCTACCATGGGGAGCCTTATCAAATGCCTTCCTTAAATCCAAGTATACCACGTCCACTGCTCCATCTTCATCCACGTGTTTGGTCACCACTTCAAAGAATTCAGTAAGGTTTGTGAGGTATGATATACCCCTCTCAAATCCATGCTGACTATCCCGAATCAAACTGCCTATCCAAGAGATCATAAATCCTATCTCTGAGCCCTTTCCAATACTGCCCACCACTGAAGTAAGACTAACTGGCCTGTAATTTCTGGGGTTATCCTTTATTCCCTTTTTTTGAACAAGGGAATGACGTTTGCCACTCTCCAATCTTCTGGCACTATACCTGTGGACAGTGAGGACGAAAAGATCATTGCCAAAGGCCCTGCGATCTCTTCCCTCGCTTCCCGTGGAATCCTTGGATAAATCCCATCAGGCCCGGGGGACTTGTCTATCTTCAACTTCCTCAAAATTCCTCGTACATCTTCCTTACTAACATCCACCTCTAGCCTACCAGCCTGTTTTACACTGTCCTCCCCTGCAACTAGGTCCCTCTCAGTTGTGGATACCCAAGAAAAGTAGTCATTAAGGACCTCCTATCTCTTTAGGCTCCGTGCACAATTCCCTTTACAATCCTTGATCAGCCCTACCCTTTCTCTGGTTATTCTCTTATTCCTCACGTACGTATAAAAAGCCTTGGGGTTTTCCTTGATCCTATCTGCCAAGGTTTTCTCATGCCCCCTTCTATATCTCCTAAGCCCTTTCTTCAGCTCCTTCCTGGATAACTTGTATCCCTCTGGAGCGTTTTCTGGTCTTTGTTTCCTAAACCTTATATAAGCCTCCTTCTTCCTTTTAACCAGTCGTTCTACCTCTCTACCTCTCTTAAGAACCAAGGCTCCCTCACTCAACTGCATCTTCCCTGCCTGCTAGGGACATGCATATCGAGCGCACGCAGTATGTATTCCTTAAACAATCCTCACGTTTGTATCGTGTTCTTCCCTGATAGCATCTGTTCCCATTCTGTTACCCAGTTCTTGCCTAACAGAATTATAATTACCCTTCCCCCAATTATAAACGTCACCCTGCTGTATGTACCTATCCTTTTCCATGACTATTGTAAAGGTAACAGAGTTATGATCGCTACCGCCAAAATGCTCTCCTACCAACAGGTCTAACACTTGGCCCAGTTCATTGCCAAGCACCAAATCCCAAAGTGGCCTCTCCTCGTGTTGGTCTATCAACATACTGTGTCAGGAATCCTTCCTGAACGCACTGGACAAAATCCGCTCCATCTGAACTATTAGAACTAAAATGTTTCCAGTCAATATTTGGAAGGTTGTAGTCACCCATGATTACAACCTTGTGACTTCTGCACCTTTCCAGTATCTGCCTCGCAATCCGCTCCTCCACTTCTCTGCAACTATTTAGGGGGTCTGCTTTTTTAAAAAAAAAACCCAACAAAGTGACTGCTCCTTTCTTGTTCCTGACCTCAACCCAAACTGGCTCTGTAGACATATCATTCTCGAGCTGCCTTTCAGTAGCTGCTATACTAGCCCTGACTAGCAATGCGACTCCCCCGCCTCTTTTTTCCACCCTCCGTATTTCTTCTAAAGCATCTAAATCCCAGAACTTCCAACAACCATTCCTGTCCCTGAGTTACCCAAGTTTCTGTAACGACCACAACATCGTAGTTCCAAGTACTGACCCATGCTCTTAAGTTCATCTGCCTTATTTCCGAAACTTCTAGCATTGAAGTATACACACCTCAAACCATCTGTGTCCACAATTACGCTCCATCGACCACATTTCTTTATTAACAACCTCGCTCCCTGTTGTGTCTTTTGGAAGGTTGAATACCTCATCCTCTGAATTACAAATCCGGTTCCCCACCCCCTGCCAATCTAGTTTAAACCATCCCATATAGCTCTAGCAAACCTCCCTCCCAGGATATTTGTGCCCTTCCGTCCTCCCCTTCCCCAGAACGTGCTCCAATTATCCACATAATGGAAGCCCTCCCTCCTACACCAGCCCTATAGCCACGTGTTTAGCTGCACTCTCTCCCTATTTCTTACCTCGTTATCACGTGGCACTGGTAGTAATCCAGAGATAACTACCCTGTTTGTCTTGGACTTCAGCTTCCAACCTAACTCCCTGTACTCATTTTTCATATTCTCTGTCCTTTTTCTACCTATGTCATTGGTACTGATGTGTACCATGACTGCTGGTTGTTCACCCTCCCCTTTTAAGGATCTTGAAGACACAATCAAAGATGTCATGGACCCTGGCACCCGGGAGGCAACTTACTGTCCGTTCGCATTCACAGAACCACCTATCTGTGCCTCTAACTATTGAATCCCCCACTACAATTGCTCTCCTATTCTTCCCCCACTTCCCTTCTGAGCTACAGAGCCAGTCCCTGTGGCTTACCCCTGGTAGGTCGTCCCCCCAACAGTATCCAAAACAGTGTACTTATTGTTGAGGGGAACAACCACAGGGGATCCCTTCACTGACTGTTTCCTTCCTTTTCCCTTTCCTTACTGTCGCCCGACTGCCTTCGTTCTTAGGGGTAACTATGTGCCTGTATCTCGTTTCTATCACCACCTCAGCCTCCCGAATGATCCTGTGTTCATCCAGCTCCAGCTCTCTAGCGTAGTCTTTGAGGAGCTGGAGCTGGGTGCACTTCCCACAGGTGAAGTCAGCAGAGTCACTGCTGTTGACTCGTACCTCCCACATCCTGCAGGAGGAACGTTGCACTGCCCTGACTGCCCATCCTCATTAAATTTAAACTTCCCCAAAAGATTTGTAAAAAGTAGAGAATAACTTACTTACCCTTTTATTCTTGGGTTAGAGAAGGTGGAAGGGATGGGAGACGCCACTCTTGTGCTCTCGCTCCCGGTCTCCTCCTCCGCCGCCAAAAATGAAGGCCCTGAAGCACTAACTGTAAGTTATTACACTCGCCGCTTACCTTTCCAGCAGTCCCGTCACGCTCTCTCCCGACTCGGAGGAAATTGTTGTGCTTATTGACCCTCCACACAGTCTTTT